AGGAGGGGGGGGAGGACTGTACACCTACAGGGATGATGAGGAGGAGGAGAAGGAGCAGCGGCATGGCCAGGAACGTGCGGTTTCGTTATCGAGGGCCTCGGGCCGAGCTCCCCCCGAGCGTTACCCCTCAGAGCAGGAGGGGGAGGGAAGGAGGAATGTCCACTGCTTTGTTTTAGAGATGGTCTGGTTTTCTGAGGCGGTGAGGTTGGTTCGGGGGAAGACAACGTCCTGCTAAGGCAGGGCCCCAGCTGCACTGCTGATGGGTCGGTCGGCAGCGCGGACATCTCGCGCCAGCTGCGCGCGCAAGGTGAACGCCCTTTCTTTCCATGCGTGTGCCACAGTGACGGCCTTCGTACGCTACCGTGTGTTCGTGCGTAAGACATCTGTATGGTTCGTCGGTACATGGTTCACCCAACACCGAGCCTGGCGAGAGCAATCCTCAGCCCAAGTTCGGCGCATACCCTGAGCTCTGGGGTGGCGAAAAGTTGCAAGGCATGAGAAAAAGCATCAACTGGAGCCCTAGATTCGCACTGTCGGATCGATCCGTGAGGGTCCCAGGGCTCGAGTCCATGCGACGACCGAATTCAGGGTACGTCCTCCCAGAACGTTTTCCAGAAATCAGGTAGGAGGTTTTCCTCCAGTTGCTCCAGGAATCAGGGGCCAGCGTCGGGTCATGGAACCGTCCAACAAAAAAGATTCGGGGAGAAATGCTGGCCTTGGGGGAGAGGGCTGAGTTTTGGGGTAATCAGAGCGTGAATTACCTACCTCGCTTTCGCTTCCAGGAAAAACCAAGTCATACCACGCGCCTCCTCGTCAAGCGGCCTGACCAGTACAGGCCGTAATTTGGCATCGTTTGGTATCTCTTGGAAGCGAGGGTGGTCAAAAGCGAGGGAGGTTTGTTTTCCCCCTAGTAAAGCCCCCGACGTCGCGATCTTATTCCTCACGTGGACCTCCACCGGGCGGTCCTAGGACGAGGATAAATCCGTGCGTTCCGCACCGCTCTGAGAGGGCCGCGGCGCCCGACACGTCCTCCCGAGCCGCCGGATCTCAGAGCTTCTCGATCTACTCTCGCCCGAGTTTTTGCTATCATCGTTTTGCAGTGACTTGGAGGACGAGTTCTGTCAGAGCCCCGAATCATCAAGGATAACTCGGGTCAGGGATAACTCGGGTTCGTTTTTCGGGAATCCAAACCCGAGTTACCCCGGACCCGAGTTATCCCGGATAACTCGGGCGTCCAGAGCCCCAGAATCATCAGGGGTAACACGGGTCAGGGATAACTCGGGTTCGTTGTTCGGGATTCCGAACCCGAGTTACCCCGGACCCGAGTTACCCCGGATAACTCGGGCGTCCAGAGCCCCAGAATCATCAGGGGTAACTCGGGTCAGGGATAACTCAGGTTCCTTTTTCGGGAATCCAAACCCGAGTTACCCCGGACCCGAGTTACCCCGGATAACTCGGGCGCCCAAGAGTTCTACTCTCACGCTGGCTGAACACACGTCCTCAGAACACTGGGCTGGAGTCAAACACCGTGGGCCTCGTCATCGCCCGTGTGGGTGCCCGCGCGCCGCGGCCCGGCAGCTGCCACACGGCCCCCGCTGCCGAGGCCGGCCGCGCCGGCGCACTCGGGTCGGAAGTCTTCCGCCGCCTCGGAGGGCCCCCTCCCGTCATGGCGCCAACATCGCAGAGCGGATCTCTCAGAGCCCCGAATCATCAGGGGTAACTCGGGTCAGGGATAACTCGGGTTCGTTTTTCGGGAATCCAAACCCGAGTTACCCCGGACCCGAGGTACCCCGGATAACTCGGGCGTCCAGAGCCCCGAATCATCAGAGGTAATTCGGGTCAGGGCTAACTCGGGTTCGTTTTTCGGGAACCCAAACCCGAGTTACCCCGGACCCGAGTTACCCCGGATAACTCGGGCGTCCAAGATCTCGTTCGGCAAACGAAAGGATGGGCCCGGAGTGTCCTCGATAATTTCGTTCCGGATTTCGATGTGAATTCCGTGCGGTTTTTGTTGGCCAGGAATGAAGACTACAAAACATCCACCCGAAGTTCACTTCGTGTTTCATTCGCCATTTCGGGTATCTGCATAAACGGAAAACGCCGCACAAATCTTCTGCAGCACGTTTGCAAGGTCGGTGCAGTTACGCTTGTCTCAGTCTCCTCTGCTGCACGCTGGGCAATTGGCTCTTCGGTACCCCCGTCTAGCTCTACCGCTGGTGCAGCCATGCTGCCTCGCCGCCGCCAAAAGTGGGGGATGGGCAGAACCCCCACCCCGACACGTCGATTAGTGAATTTTCCGTGTTCGGCTCTCGAGAGGGCGCCGCGGCCGTCACTTTCCAGGCTTGCGCTTTTGCCAGGTTTAAGCCCCAGGTCGTTTTCTCTAAACCGCGTTTTCCTAAACGGGGTCCCGTCCATCCCCGATTCTGCTTCGCCGCCGACGACAGAGTTCCCACAACGCTGGGCCAGAGTCGAACGCCCTGCCGCGGACTTCGTGGACCTCATCCCGTGATGGTCAAAAGCTGGGCGAGGGCTTCTAAAACCGTGGCTGCTAAAACGGCCCTCCCGGAAGGAAAAAACAACTTCCCGGAATGAGGCGCGGCACGCGAAACAGTCAACGGGCTTCTTCCCGGAAGGACGAAGACAACTTCCCGGAGGTCGATTTTAGCAGCCACGGATTTAGCAGCCCTTGCCCGGCTTCCGAGATGGGGCTGCGGCCACAGCGCGCCGCCCTCGTGGGCCGGGCCTCCGGGTCCGCGGGCCACGCAGCAATCCTTTCGCCCAGGGGTCTGGATTTAAGTCGAGCGTGTCCCCCGTGAAAAAGCACACCAGGAACGATTTGTTGATTATTTTTGGTAATTTTCGAATATGTTTGGATTATTTTCATATTTCTTCCAAGATTCGCCTGTACAGGGACATGCCCGACCCAAGTCTGGATCTCTTCCCCGGAGGCGGCCTAACCGACTCCTGGGAAACCATTCCCTTCCGTAACGCCCCCCTCGCCTCGCCCCAAGACGTATGTATGCGACAAAGGGGAGCTCGAAAGGCGAGCATGACGTCACTGAAAGGGATGGTTTGCTAGGGATCGGTTAGCTCGCCCCCGATTTCACGGGACTGGTTTTTCATCTCGAGTCGCTTCTTAGAGCGGTCCCGAGGCCGAGCCCCATCGATACCAGAAACAGCTGGAACTTCTCCGTGGTTGTCTGCGTTGGTTCTCACGGCGCCGGGGGTGTCGGGGGATCCTGTATTAGCACGGGCAAAGCATCGGACGTTTGGGGTTCCACATTGTAGGCCTCTTGGATGGGGTCGGAGGATCACGCCGCATCGCCAATGCATTGGCGATGCATCGGCTGTGGGACCCGCTTTCCTCCACGCCGACGACGCCAAGGCATCGCCGACGTCGCCAGTGCGTGGCCAGGGGCCGAGGCATCGGCGGTGCATCGCCGAGACATCGGCGGTGTGGCGAGAGCCGCCGGCCCCGGCCATCGGACCCTGCATGTGGGAGCCCTCGACATGGTGGAGTTTGAGGAGCGGGTCGACCCGTCCAGATGTTCAATCGGGGGTGGACAGGCCTCCTGCCCTGACGCGTCGATTAGCGAATTGGCCGTTTTCGGTTCGCGAGGGGGCGTCGCGGCCGTCATTCTTGCGGGTCCAGATCCGTCGGTTTCGGCCCCAGGCCGTTTTCACTACAGGGAAGTTTATTACATGGAGGTTTGCCTACCGCCGAATGATAAAGGGCAGCCTTGCGTCCTGGATCTCGCGACCCGTGTCCGGCACACTCCCTCTCCAGTGCCCTCTCCCGGCAAACTCGATGGCAGGCTCAAGTCGGGCCTTCCCCCCACAGGATCGGGGGAGCGTAAGACCCGGGTTTGCCAGGACTCGGGTTCGCCATCGGTTTTTGACGACCGCGCCTCGGATTTTGACGAGGAGGAGTTTCGTGGGATGTCTGCAGCGGGAGGCCTCGTCAAAATGCAGGCCCGGCCTCGTCATTTTTTTGACGACCTCGTCGGGCCAACCCGAGTCCCCCGTACCCGGGTCTTACGTCTCCCCGACAGGAGGAATATCCTAAAAAGGTAAAAAAATATTCTGGGGACTGCTAAGTATGTTTGATCATTTTTGAATATTGTTCCATTCTTTAGGGGACATGCCCGACCTACTTCTAGGCCCAGGCCTCGGAGGCGCGCGCGCGCCGGTCCCGGCCGGCCCCTAGTCAGCCCTGTCCCCGGGTCTCTCGGCGCCCGCGCGTTCAGCCGGCGCCCGCGCGCCCCGAGATCGGGGCGTCGTCGTTTCTGAGTCGGGCCTGTCCCTCGACAGGATGAACATTCAAAAATAATCAACAAAGATAGTCTGGGGACGCTTTCTGACCATTTTTGAACAGTTTGGGGCAGTGATGAAGTAGATCAGCTTTCGTCACAAATCCGCCTGTAGGGGGACACGCCCGACCTTACGTTTCTGCTTCCCTGCGGGTTGCAGGTGTTCACGGCTCTCGACTTCACCGTCGTTCGGGGCCCGAGGCCTCACGTACCGATCCGTCTCGCAAAGTGACGCCGACAGATGGGGTCCAGGGTTCGTGCTGTGTTTTTTCGGTTCGACGGTGTAGTAGCTCTCTGGGAACGTCGGATCTCAGGGAACCGCATCTTTTGTCCTCTATGCCCCCCTTGTTTCTAGCACCAGGCGTTTCCGCCCAGCGGGGAGAATACTGGGCCCAGAGGATCCCAGTCTCGGCTTCGAACGGCGCCTCGGCTCTCTTGTCATTCACGACTTCGGCTTGCAGGAGCCTCTGCAATGTAGAGGGCCCCAAGATCCGACTCATCCCCCGTATCCCCTTGGAAGGGTCACATTTCCAGGGGAAATGCACAGACATCAATAAACGTCGATTCCCATGGAAACATATGAAAATATAGGAAACGTAAGGGAGGATGAAAGCCCATCGGATATTAAAACCGAGGCGATCTTGGAATTCGTGTATGTTCATTTGTGCCTCCCGGGACCCTTTTAGTAGCATGCAACATATCAGGAAGGGCGCCGGCCCCTCGCAGTCCCTGGAGCGCCTCATCCACTTCGGCGGCGCGCGCGCGGAGCAGGCGAACAACAGGTTCGCCTTCCCCTCGAACAGCGTGTCCACGACGAAGTGCCCTCCCAGACATGCGCGCGTCGTAAACAATCAGGACGGGAGGTTTTTCTAGATTCTAGACGCTTCGTGTATCCCCACCAGCCCATCCAGAAACGATGTCCAGACGAGTTGAGGTGATCAGGGAAGTGGGGGAGCAACGAAGGGGACGGCCGCACCGTGCGAAGGAGGGTGAAGAAGGATGAGGCTAGGCTGTATGGATGGATGAGGAGGGGGGAGAAGGACGATGAATGGGATCAGGAGGCACCTGAGAAGATGCCCCAAATGTCTAGCAGGTCTCCAGGCACTGGAGCAGCCGATGGACCCAGAGGAGGCTGCCGACCGACGAGAGGAGGAACAACTTCAGGTGGTCGCAAGAAAAGCACAAGGACACGGAGCGACCAAGGCACTCGTACCAGTCCAACAAGTGATCCGCATGAAGTTTGCCGACCTCATCGACCCAGACCGGTTACCACCAGTATTCCCACCAGCAGCCGTCAGCATCGAACCAGTTGCACCAGCACCAACAATCTTCACGCCATTCAGACCTCTGGTCACGACGGACATATTCTGACTGCACCTCTCAGGCCAAAGGCGAGTGGAGGATTTCCAGCGCAACTTCGAGATGTACGTCTCCTGCTGTAAGTGCTCTCCATCGACGTGCAGATCGACCCCCAAGCAGGACACCCTGGTATTTTGGTCTAGCGCGATTCGTTCCGGCGAGATCTTTGGCATAGTCGCAGGGACACCATGTAAAACGTGATGTTCTTCAAAGTTGCACGCCCTCGAGGGACGTGCCCCAACCCTTGAGACCCACGAATTCCCGCGGGGTGTTCAAGTAGCCAGCCAGACGGAACTGCAACAGGTAGTGCCAGGCAACGACTTCTACTCTGTGTGAGTGAAGTCCGCCCACTTCCCTACCACATCCCTTCCGCAACTGTACTGGCCCAGGTATTGGTAACTGTCTTGGCGCACTGCTCGCTGCGCAGTACCCAGGAACACCTTTACCAACGGACCCCATACAGGAACGGCCCCTCGGCCGTCGCCCTGTATACACAGGTTATCAGCATGTTCTTAACCGCTCTTTGCTGTTTCAATTCGCGTCATCTTGGATTCCGCCGCTTGGCGTCACAACTTCGTCGCGCTGCCTTCAAGTGGTCTATCCCCTCGACGGCGTATACGAGCAAACACATCATAGAGAGGGCACAAGAAACTGTGACACCCATCTCCCCCTTTCAGGTGACGGCAGCGCCGCGTCTCTTGCGGCGGCTCTCGTGGAATTTCTACCCGATTATATGATTTCTCCGCCGCCCCCCTCTCACGCGCCACGACCCTCGCGACAACTGCTGGGTTTGCCTCCCGCGGAGCCTGATACATCCAACCCGTCGGTGGCTGCACCTGTCACGTCTGTCGTCGGAGCCGACCCCGGCTCCAATACGCCTACTGTCTCACCGCCCACCTTCGCTGACACCAGCGTCGGTCGTAACCGCCGCTGGGCCAAGATTCCGTCGCCTACAAACGTCTCTGTCTCAGAGCATGCGCGGGCCATCGAGAATCGCACTGGCTGGACGTCTCAGTGACAGGTTCCAGATCGGCATCACATTCGTTCTCCTATTCGAGGCGCCAGCCGCAGCCCCTCACAGCGGCGCTCCGGGCATGGCTCTCAGCTGCGCAACTTTGTTGCGCAATCCTCCTACCGCCGGCGATCTGGCGGAGCTTCGAGACCAGGTTGGAAAATACATGACCCAACAACTGTCGGGTCTGGCAGCTCAGACGGCCACAACAAGACAGGACTTTCAGCAAGTTTTTGCCCTGGTCGACGCTAGGATCGCCGAGGATCGATCGATCATCTCTCAGGTCCAATTCCAGGTCGACCAGATGAAGTCACGCCGGGGCGCCGACTCCAGCACGATCCAGTCGTTTCGCGACTACCTCCTACAGATGGAGGCATAACATGTGACCGTCAGGGATACTTGGACTGCTGCTGTCAGGACACTACACGATGAGCTCCTGATGGTACGGCAGACCCCACCTATGGAGGTACATGGATCTACGGACTCCCAGCGACGTGATGAGTTGGATACGCTTCGCACCCAGGTCCAACAGCCCGCTGCTACGATGCACTCCACCCGCGCCACCCTCACGTCTGAGTTAGATGGTAAGCTGCGCGGTGCCGAGATGGCCCTCGTTCGCCGTCTTGAAGCTTCCGAAGGACGCGCGCCAACGCTTGAGGACCGAGTCTCCCAGGTCGAGGAGCATATCCCAAAGCAACGGACTGCGCTGGTTGATTTGCATGTTGCGCGGACCCAGACTGATCAGCTGGGCACCCCGACTTCGGTTTACGATTTCGCCTCCCTTGACGCCCGCTTGGCCGAGGTGCAGCAGGCGGCGGGCCACGTGCAGTTGCGACCCGCCCAGATCTCCCAGGAAAGAGACGCTGAAAAAAGAACGGGCCGACTCACTACTTGCTCGTTTGGAACAAGAGTGCGAAGCACGCAACCAGCGATTTCAAGACCTCGAGCACAGGCTGGACAGGCACTCCCAGCGGACCCACGATACCAACGTCGAAATACGTGGTCTCCAACAGAGTGTCCAACACATGCAGCGCGCCGCTGCGATCAACGAAGCTACACTGACCTCGCACGTGAGCAACGCCGAGCTCCACAACCAACCTCCAGACCATCGCCGCGCTCCTACGCCTGCCGATGGGGGCATCCGCGCGGACCGTGCGCGACGCACCTCGCCTGGGGCCGCTTCAGCCGCGGTTTCCGCTCAGACACGTCACGTTTCTCCTGTGCGAGATTCTTTCCCACCACAACCGGTCCTTTCGCAGACGTTGTCACGCGTCTCTGCCACCGCCACTACTCCCATCAAGGAGCCCGACGCCGCGCGTACACCACAACTGCCACGCATTACACAACTACAGGTGTGGCAGCAGGCAGCAGACGGTTCGCAACAACTTTGGCAGTGCATCTGGGCGCCCTGCCGAGGCATGCGCTTCATTTTGCTTCGCAGAACAACCAACAACGACCTACGACGACCTCCAGGACAGCGGCGACTTCGGGAGCATCGACTTCTAACTCGCAGCTGGGCTTACCGCTATCCTCAATTCTGAGCTCCGCTGCCGCATCAAGAACCTTGCGGCTCAGGGGCACAAGGCTGGCCGCATGCTCAAAGGCAGACAGATCTACTGGACGGTGCTGCAGTCCTACAAGGTCACGGCAGTAGAAGACGCTCTGCACGACTTCGAACTCTTGCAACTGCTACGCATGCGGGACGACGACCTACAACGGTTCATCGTAGACTGGGACCATCTGCTATTGGATTGCCGCGAACCACCCGGCGCGAGAATATTGAAGTCACTATTCCGTGCTCAGATACGACGCCACTATTTGATGGAACAGGAGATGCGCGACTACAACATAACGGCCCAAAACAATCCCAACAAAACGCACGAGTGGGTTCGACAGCGAGTTCTTGGCAACCTTGAACCCCACCCACTTGAGCGTGACCAGCGCAACCTCAAGAACGAGACCAGCAGACGCGACTCCGTGATCTGCGCGGCTTTCAAATCGGGCAAGTGCAAAAACGGGGGGAGGTGCAAAATGCCCCACGCGGGCTCCACGCGACCTCCTACGTCCTCTAACTCTACCCGCGACTACCGCGACAGACGGTCCTCTACTGGCCGCTCCACTGGACCAGCGACGAAAGACAAACCAAGACAGAACTTCTGCTTTGCTTTCGCAAAGGCAGGATCCTGTCCCAAGAAAAGAGCGTTGCACATACCCCCACATACCAGCATGCACCTTCTACGCAGACCCGAAGCAAACCTGCGGGCACGGCGACCGTTGCCGCAATGCTCACATCAACCCCAATGCTAAGACTTCCGACCGGAGCCCTGTTCGGCGACGCAGCAAAGACAGCCGCGACAGGGCGCCTTCTCCGCGACAAGCGGGGGGCCGGAGACAATCGCCCTGCAGGGACCGATAGCGCTCCCGAAGTCCGGGGGGCGCATTTTGGTCACCGCGAGGACTGCCATCTCTACGGCGCGGGGGGCGACGCGACTCTCGCTCTCCAGAGCGTAGCAGATGGTCACCACGTCCTCCACAGCGTTCGCGTTCTCCGTCTAGGACATCCCACCAGGACTCGCCCCGTGGCCGTTCTCCCACCAGGAGGGGCAGGTCGAGCAGCCGTTCATCATCCCGATACAACAGCCGCTCACCATCGACACGTGATCGCGTTCGGTCATCAGCTCCAGGCCGCTGCGATCGACGGCGTGACCGTGCTGCGGCCTCACGAGAAGGGACTCTCATCTTGTATGTCTCTGCAATGAAGCATATCAGACTTGACCTAGACAATGTGGACATTACAACATGCACGGTAAAACACAACATGTACAAATGGACCGAATCATCATATTGCAGGGTCGACAAAGTCGACGTTCTCGATGTCTTCCCAGACTGGTAGTTACAGGCTAGTAGTGCGCGTGCGCTTCGTGCCGCGCCGGAGGACGCACAACGATTTTGTGGCGAGACTACCGTGGCGACCACGACCGCTTCCGCGCCGGCGGTAATACCCGCACTGACGCCCCTACGGTCCACGGCTGCACTTTCACGCACGCGGATGCTGCACAGTGGTTCAGCCCATCATATACATGACAAGTCCGACCTCTCACCTCACGAGACAACTCGAGCACGGCAAGGGCGCGAGCACATCCTCGAGACTGCCAGCGGCGGTCGCGTCGTCAACGAGCACATCGAGCTTCAACTACCACAGATCGGACTATCCAGTTCCGCTCTGACCATGACGGATTGCCCTTCGGTAGTCTCAGTGGGACACATGGTTCAGGAGGATGGTTTCAGACAGCTGTGGGATCCTATATTTGGTTACTTACTGCAAGACCCCCGCGGTCAATGGTATAGAGTACACGTCAACAATTGCACCCCCGAGCTCGATACGCACAACCCGCAGAAGATCCCGCCCCCCGACTTGCACATCTCTACCCCGGCATCGCGATGTTC